AAGAATGCTGTGTGAGTTAGGTTCGACACTGAGGTATCTAACTCGTATCAAAATATTTGCATGACGAGACCCTGTTTCTAGATTTTTAATTGGCTTTTCCGGACATTCGTATCTGAGTGGATTTTGACCAATGAGGTATTTTTAATAATAATATTAACACCAGGAACGTCGAGAGTCAGCACGGGCCCCGGGACAAACATCCTCGCCGGGCCCCCTTTCTATCTCTCTTTTTTAACATTTTCAAGAATTTATTAAAAAGAAAATCTTAAATTAGGACAGCAACGAGCTCATAAACCAGACAAAATCATAGCAGTAGCCGTTTTTACCTCACAGAATAAGCGTAAAAACGTTAATAAAGTAACAACAAATATCTATTAATTATTACTCAAATTATTATTTCGGTCGTTCTTAATGTATCAAGCGTCTATATGCAAAGAAAAGCCAAAAACTACGGTTTTTATAATTAAATGAAAACATAGCCTAAAGATGCTTTGCGGGCTTTACGGCATAACCAGGTTTCATTCTCCTGGGCAGTTGCCACCTACCCCTGTCGGCGGTCCTGATTAACACTGGTACTTAATAATTTTTAATGAAAGAAACAAACATATCAGATTTTTTGTTCTTTTTTATTATAAACGCAATATGCGACCGTGTTAAATGGGAGACACCTAGACAAAGAAAATGATATTTTTACATAAAGTTTTCTATCTGAATAAAGAACGCAATGGTATCAAGATGGGATAAAATGGTATTAAACTTGCACTAAAATATTTATTTAGATGGTTAAAAAATTTTCGGGAGTTTTATTGGCTTTGGAGAAACAAGAACATCATGTGTTTGTTGTTCATCGTAAAATATTTTCGTAAGCATGTATTCATATTTTTGATCGTGTGACAAACGTTATTCCGAGTGTTAGTATGGTCATGCGCTAGCGGTCTCTAATTTTTAACTGATAGCCTAAAGGTAATAAACAGCACGTATATTACCAATTTTTGGGCTACTCTAATTGAATAGTGGGACTTGACCGCTACTAGTATAACGTACTCTCTACCCATAATGCGCAGCGCGATTTTTTGCGGTTAGAGAACACAAATCATGGATCGTAAAATCCACAACATGACGAGCTAAACAGTAGGCCACGCACGGCACTTTCTGAGAATTTCCCCGTACTAAAATATGCAAAATATTATACACAGAATATCAGGGAAGTTTTACAGTTCTGTGACTGGAACGCAAACCGTGTTTGTAAAGACAGTCAACACTAGGGGGGGGGGGGCAGCTAGTGAAATTCTGTATCTTAATTCACAGATATTAAAAAATATTAGCTTTCGAGTCACAGATGCAGCCTATGAGAGACACGAGATTTTCAACTGCTCGAGGAGAAACATCTCTCATATATTGCCACGTTCTCCAGTAAATACTGCCCGACTTCACAAATTTCAAAGCCGAAACCTTTCCTCAACTAATGAATGCATGTGTACCAAACGAGAAATACAGGTGGCTGCTGTCATGGTTTTGTACTATTTCTGATATCAATATATATTTGAAGCTGTACTATTTTCCATTATTTTGACACAAGCACTTGAGGAAAACATCTGTATCACCAAACACAACATATACACTTCCACACACAGGTATGGACGCATGCTGTGCATCAAGAAGATTGTATATATTTACGTGTAGTTATCAGAAACATATGGAAAAAAGCTTTACCACATATGACAAATTTAATCGTACTACATAATTCTGTTTCTATTCTCTGTCAGTGAACTTGATAGAAACTGTTTTTCCGTGGCCACTTGGGGCTATGTTTTTGAACTGCGAGTCTGCTTTCTGATCTGCTTTGTTATCATCCCGTATACACCATAAACTACATTATTATTTTTTTTTACAATTTGACCCCTTGTTGACAGTGATTGATGGAAGATTCACTACCAGATCAACAATGTTTTGCAATTCCCCTTCAGCTTGTGAGCAAGGTTCATACTATTGATTATATACAGATGTTCCTAGTTACGACAGTGCAGATGTGTCTTATGGCAATAATAGACTTGTCTGTTGTCAGCAATTTATTTGGAGATACTAAAGTTTATATGAATGGACTTTACACATGTGCAGATTTCTGCAACAAGAATCAGCCAGAATGATCTTTTGGCCACCTGACCTTTAAGCCCATTTTTGATTATCGATGTTTGTAAATGTTTTCAGTTTGTAATTAGTGTTATGAAACTTATTAAAGGAAGGTTTGATATGCCACCTGCTTTGCTTTATGAGCATCCATAAGGTCAGATGGTGCTACTGTACAACTATGAAGGCCCGTAAGCTCTTGTTGGGTATCACTGGATGGATTTATCCAACTGTTGGAAAGCATTTCCATCAGTCTGAACATCTGCCTTATTCTTTGAGACCCTAATTTTCTGAAGGGTTTTTGTAATGAGTCAGACTGACTCGTATGCAGTTTCTCTCAGAAATGCACAGTGGTATCCTGCAGTACTGCAGTTAACAGCTGCATATTTCAGACCAGAGCTTTTGGTACCAAGTTTGGGTATTGTTTTTCACAGTTTCATCAACAGGAAGTTTTTCAAAAGTATTTTGAGATTCCGAGTAAAATAACGAGAATTCATAAACATCAAGATCATCTGTGTATAAAAACATGGAATCAACGTGCAGATGAAGGTATATCTGTGTATAAAAACATGGAATCAACGTGCAGATGAAGGTATATCTGAGCATAAAAACATGGAATCAATGTGCAGATGAAGGTATATCTGAGCATTAAAACATGGAATCAACGTGCAGATGAAGGTATATCTGAGCATTAAAACATGGAATCAACGTGCAGATGAAGGATATATGTAACAGTCAATTGCAATCTCTTGAAGTCCTTGTAAGATCCAGCATGATCTCAACTATATCAGTTTATAACATCCAGAATCCAGACAGATCCAGTTTTTGTACAAATGATCCATGTCCCTTTTTAACAGTTATAGTTTAACATTTTGCACAAAGGCAGAGTTTCTTATGGAGCCAGCTATGCTTGTTTGTTTTGAATTTTGTGCAAAGCTACACAAGGGCTATCTGCGCTAGCTGTCCCTAATTTAACAGTGTAAGACTAGAGGGAAAGTAACTAGTCATCACCACCCACTCTTTTACCAATAAATAGTGAGATTGACCATCACATTATAATGCCCCCATGGTTGAAAGGGCGAGCATGTTTGGTGTGACAAAGATTTGAACCTGCGACCTGCAGAGTGCGAGTTGAGCACCCTAACCACCCGACCATGCCAGTTATGCTCCTGTTAAGATATATTTATTGAGTCTTTATTTAACAGCATTTTGAAAACAACAGAATTACATAATTTTCTAAAAGTCAATTATTTTATTATCAGTTTGACACATTTTTGCATGCTTATCCCATATGTATTATACATGTATAGACCCTAGTTTGGATTCAAGTTACTCTTTATAATAGTTATTTTGTAGGGCCACTTACAACAAATAAAGCAAAATAACAAAATATGTTGTTTTTTTTTAAATTGTCCAAAAGGCTAATTTCTTAAATTGTTAGAACTATGATAAAGCTAATGATTTGGAAGAGTTATAATAGATTTTTTAAATTCCCTGGTGTAGTAGAAAGAGGATAATATAGGTCTAACTTTGCCTCACCAGGTGGTACCAATTAAATTATCATGGACAAATTGTGCTGTCTCTGTAATTGATGTCAACTGTCCACTTAGCAATATTAACATAATAACACAATGTTTTGGGACAACATGGGACCTATTGCTCCATCTCAGCTGTTCCATCCTCTAAACTAAATTAAAATAATTTAAAAAAAAATCTTAAAGCCAGCCCTTGTCATTCATATACTTATCAAGCTTTTCCTTAAACCCACTGCCTCTACAACATCTAAATGGAACCCATTCCAAAGGCCAACCACCCTGTTAGAAAAGTGAAACTGTCTTGGCTAAAGATGACTCCTACCTTGCCGAAATATATATCTATGTCCTCTAGTTCTACTATTCTCACTGTTAAATATGAAAAAAGATGATGCATCAACACTATCAATTCCATTTACAATCTTAAACACCTCAATAAGAGTCCCCCAACTTCTTTTTTCAAGAGAAAACAACTTGAGAGATTTCAGCCTCTCCTCGTATGACAACCCTTCCATCCCAGGCACCATTCTAGTAACCCTTTCCAACAATTCAATGTCTTCCCTAAGGTAAAAAGCCCAAGAGTGAACACAATACACTAAATGTGGCATAACCAATCACCTGTACAATGAAATTATAAACTCTTTAGACTTGTATTCAACATTTCTGTAGGTACAACCTAAAAATCCTATTTGCCCTACTACTAGCAACAGCACAGTGTTTGGATGGCTTTAGAGACTAATTGACTATTACACCAAGATTTCTTTCCTTCATAACACTATTAAGGTTATTCCTATCCAAATTATACTTATAATTCAAATTATGATAACCCACATGCCTTATCTTGCATTTATTATAATTAAAACCCATCTGCCATTTATTTGCCCAACTCACTAAATGGTCTAAATCCTTTAATAAATCAGCAGCATCCTCGTCACAGTGAGTACCGGCAATATTTCACCCCTACAATTAAATATTAAATGATGAATGCAGAAGGCAAAACCGAATGGCTCTTATGCAAGAACTAATAGTAATAGCATTACTATTATTATTAGCAGCAGTAGTAGTAGTACTAATACCTTTCCTGTAATTTAGTGACTAAATCATAATAATACTATTATTACTACTACAATATCATAATACAATACCAATAGTAGTATTCGTGTTATGCTAAAGTTAATGAAAACATGAGCAATTAATTGGTAATAGTAGTAGTAATACTACTGAGTACTAGTAGGCTGAGCACGCCTGACTCATTCCGACTTCAGAGTCTGGGTTAGTCTTACTAGAGCCCTAACCAACGTAAAAATTAACGCTCAACATTAGATCCTCTAGAATAAATACCTCCATTGTCCATAGCAAAAGAATACGCTTCTATAATTCTCTGCACTGCTCCAGACATTATTTTAACTTAATTTCCAAACAACTTAAATTGAACAAATACTAATTTAGTCTTTGATTTAAGAATCTGAACCAAGGCCAATACCACCTACACCAAAAGAAACCGTGCTCACTATAACATTAAAGATTATTGAGTTTTACAATCTCCACAAGAGTGCAGTTAAGTCAGTTTTAATACCACTAAACCACTATATTATGGAATCACGATAATACACGTTTCAGTTAAAAATGCCTTTTGCTCATAATTTTTATTTAATTATTTTAGCATAACAAAATCGTGGTTTTAGCAAAATGATTTATTATTTTGTTATTTGCGTAGTTTAATGAGACTTATTTCACTATCGAGAAAAAAAAAATACTCCAGTACATTTCATACGTAGCTAGAAAGTTGCAGCAGCAGTTAAATAAAGTCAGTATATTCCCAGGGAGCTTTACTTAAACATTACACAAAAGTTATAATTTTCGTAAACTAGGATTTCTGACTGGCATTAGGACACCTGCATAGTTTATTACTGCTAATGTTAGTCTAAGTGTAGGCTTTTAACGTATCAAATAACAATATGGTTTATGAAATATTGACTCCTCACTAATGGCTTCAATGCTATGTTCAACAACATTTGTAAATCCAGGCTTATCACCAAAACGTATCGACATACTTCAATAAGTCTGTCTTTAATTTTCCATTGTCATTTAATTAAGAGCAAGCACTGGGCTTCATTGAGCAATGCTCCTTTAAAGTTATGACTGCAGAAGGCATATTTCAATTACGTCTCCAGTGGCTCAGCGGTAAATCAGAAGACTTATAACGATAAAAAACTGGGTTTCAATACCCGCGATGGGCACAGCACAGATAGCCCGCTGTGTATCTTTATACTTAATAGTAAAAAAAAATAAACGAATTTTAATGATATTCTTCAGAAGGCTCATATTAATTTCTTTCTGTTGAACAAAGTCTAAGCCAATGAGACAGGACATTGCCAAATCTTTCACACCAGCAATTGATTAACTATATACTATTTCCTATGAATAATTTTGTTATGAAAAGTGTCAAAAATTAGCTATTCCATCAGCAAGATATATTTCTCCTTTACGCCATGTTAGTAAGTAAAAGTTTGAGTGTTTATCTTAATCTATTACCACACATTGTCATCTATAATAGAAAGATCAGGCCGTGTCTTGTCGGTCCACTTCTTTCACATCATTAATCTTAAGTGTTAACTTTAGCGATTCAATTTTAGTTGTAGGTATGTAATTTATGAAGCATTTTATTTAGGAGGAAATAAGGTCTTTCAGCTCTGGTCTCTCTCTTCGTTTCCCGACTGATATCTTTTATCTCAGTTCTTTTTCTTTTTTTTTTACATTTACAGCATAAATCGGAAAATACTGTTACGACAGCGGAAGTCACGTGACCCTGGTAACAAGTAATGCATTCTAGAAAGATCGGGGAACATCACGAATAATCCAATATTTGCTAGACGCCCTCTATTCTTGTATACAAGTGCGCAAGACAATTAATCGGAATAGAATTGCACACAGACAGAGACGGATAATTGAGTCAAGCGCGGTAGTAAGTAAGTGCGTGAATCGTTCCCTGTAAATTATAACGTGTTTTTATAAAATTAGTTAAATTAAATTGACTGTGGAAATTAAGTGTATTGCAAAGTTGAATTGAGAAAGAATAAACTAGTTTTATTTAAGAAAGGACTTGTATCGCTGAAGTTTTTCAGAAGGAATTTTTACGGGAAAATAACAATCGACCAGAGACGTAACAATACATAGTTAAGTGGACGATCTACATGTTTACAGTTATGGTATTTCCTGTTTGAAAACGATTTCCCGATAAGTGTTTGATCGAATTTTCCAGAATAACGGCAGAGTTTTCCAAGAAAATTACAAGATTTCTTGTGACTAAGTGTTCGTTTCCTTAGCGTATGCATAAACAGGCTAGACAAAATTTAAATGACTAAACAAAATCTTTATTCAAACAAGAAAGGAAGAAATCTCAGCACGCATACCCACTAACGACAGAAAGTCCTCACTTTTGGTAAGTTAACGTTTATAACCTTGAAGATTCGTTTCTCTGGGGATCGAATACTACAACACCAAACACAAGAAACAGAAAAAAAAGTTTTTATTGTAGGCAAACTAGGAGAACTATACCAAGAAAATGTGCCTGGATTTCGAACATTAATTCGCTTTCTTTGTCCAATTGACGACATAGTTTGGCCAGCAAAGGATATTACATTTCCAACTAGTTTAACACAGACTGAAATATCTTTAGTGATTGTAGGACGACTATAATAAGATAATGTTCAATACTTTGGACCAGGTGTTGCCAGCATGAGCTTGCAACTAGTTGGTACTTAAAATAAACATTATACCACGATAGATGGTAGAAACACATAGTATAATTGCAAATCACACAATTATAACATATTGTTACGTCTCCGTTCGTTACTTGATTTCCCGTAACTTCGTTCCGACGAAACTTTAGCGACACAAGTTCTTACTTAATAAAACTGGTTTATTCTTTCTGAATATAACTTTATGATACACTTAATTTCAACAATCGCGCTAAAACAAACGCTATAACAATGAACGTGCTCAATAATACTCTCTGACTGCAGATCAATTACTCACTGTCTACACACACACATTATTCTGTCACGTTGTCACCCTCTTTTATATACCACACTACCCTATATCTAGTAAATGCTAGAGCATTCGCCAAGGTACAGGATAGTTCTAGAAAGCAGAGGGCGTGAGAATAGTCACGTGATCTCGCTGACGCAACAATATTTACGAATGTTTTCATCTAAACACACATACACACCTGTTTTGTTTAAAATAATGTGCCTTCGGTATAATATTTTTCGAAACAGATCAACGCTTTGTTCAGACAATTTCTCTGTACTTGGTGTAGAGTCATGCTTCGTCACGTACCAGAAATTATAGTGCGTCGAATTGTTCGACTGTCCAGAAATGGAATGAAGCAAAGATATTGTCAGAACAATAGGATACCCCCAATGTACTGTATCCAGAATCCTGAAACGTCATCAGACTACAGGAGCCGTTGTTCCAGGAATGCCTACTAGTATATGCTGAAAAACTACTGCTTGAGATAACTTTGTTTTGATCAGGTTAACACATCAAGGTCGAATAAGTCTTGCAACACCTTATGAAAGAAATGGTATTAACACATTCACTCCAGGGTATCCAGAAGAACAGTAAATTGAAGACTAATCAAACAAGGCCATTTCTCAAAAAGGGCTATCTGCAAACCGATATTAACAAGAATTTACCGCCTTCACCATGTTAATTGGGCAAGAGGGCGTGCCAATATACAGTTAAGACACAGATGGCATGTAATCTTTTCAGATGAGTTCTGTTTCTGGGTTGTTAAAGTTGATGGTAGGATTCGTGTTCGTTGTTTGCCTGGAGAACAAATGGGAGAAGACTGTTATTCCCACAGGGAGTACACAGGTGGTGCAGTACATGTTTGGGCAGCTATTCATCATGGTGAAAAAGCTGCTCTTCATATTCTCCAGGAAAACGTCAATGGCGCCTCCTATAGGCATAACATTGAGACGATGTTTCTGCCATATGCTTGGGCAAGGTTTGACAATGACTTTGTATTCCAGGTTGACAATGGTCCTGCCCACAGTGCACGTATTGTACAGGATTATCTCGACCTGGAGGATGTTACAAGATTGCTATGGCGAGCAAAGTCTCCAGATTGTAATCCCATTGAGAATAATTGGGCAGAACTGAGCCAGAAAATTGCTAACCACAGCCCTAACTCAGTTACTTTTAGTGACAAGTTGGAATGAAATTAAGGTGGGTTACATCAATAACCTCATTAACAGCATGCCACATTGCCTTGTGGAGGTTATTGGAGTACGAGAAGGACCAAACAAGTACTGAATGTTTAATATAAACCGATATAAGGTTACTGACGCAATTTATAATAATTTGATGTTATATTTTGTCATTATGTATGTTTTGGTAACGTTTTGCTTTGATAGGTGAAATGATGAATTACACATTTTCTCACAGGTTTCTGATGAAATTAATTGCTGTTTTATATATATATATATAGTTCACGATGTCCATAGAACCTGTCTCATTATACAAATTACATATGTAGATGTTTAATATAACATGTATTTCTTAGTTTGACAGTATATTTGTATAACATCTTAATAATAATTATCTTATTTGTTACAAAATGTGCAAACATTTTTCTTTAATATTTAAAAAGACATAAAAGAAGCAGAAATAAAATGTTCACGTGTTGACTTTTGTGGTTGTCTTTACAAATAACAGTCTATCGTTCTCTTACATAAGGTTGAGAAAATGCGAGACTTTTTGTAATGAGAAGTATACGATAAAGAAAATATTAGATTTGGTAGATTCGAACCTTTGCTCTTTATAACAATCTTTTGAATATTTTGAAGATGTAGTTTCAGATAAGTTATTGAAACTACGAAATGAAATATGTCAAACAGACATTGACATAGATTTCAAAAACATGTTAGAGCTTCGTCAGCCATTTAAACTTGTTGATATGTTGTAAGTGCCAATGTGTGGCCCGGTCTGGCCAGGTGGATAGGACACTCGACTCGCAATCTGAGGGTTGCGGGTTCGAATCCCCGTCCCACCAAACATGCTCGTCCTTTCAGCCGTGGGGGCATTATAATGTGACGGTCAATCTCACTATTCGTTGGTAAAAGAGTAGCCCAAGATTTGGCGGTGATGACTAGCTAGCTGCCTTCCCTCTAGTCTTACACTGCTAAATTAGGGACGGCTAGCGCAGATAGCCCTAGTGTAGCTTTGAGCGAAATTAAAAAATAGTTCCTACGTCTTTCTTTTCAAGAAATCTTGTGAAAAATACTTTGTTACGAATCAAACGTGCTTATATAAAATAAATCTGTATCTGAATGTGATATTGCTATAGTATTTTCAGATGAACTGGTTTCTCGACAAGAGCCAGATAGATAGATCTGCTAATATTAGCAGGTTTGACCAAGAAATTTGAAGACTAGTTTGTATTTGAACACTGACCCAGTTTTCTTGTGTTTGAAACTGAACACATTTTGAAAAAAAAACAAAAAACATGCA